TAGGTTCTAAAACATGCAACCTAAGCTCTGATACCACATGTAAACTTTATAGATTGCATATAGGAGAACACTACCTTGTTCTGTAGCCATTGGAATGATCGAAGCAGCAACTTGACACACACAGCACAGCAGCAACTTGACACACACAGCACAGCTCCTCAATATCGATTTCTGTATACTCTCTCACAGATGGGGTATGAGTTCTCTAGAGTGGGTACTTCGATATGAGCAGGGACTATGTATTTATATGCATCAGTCGGAACTCCTTGCCCATCAAGGAGTTCTCAACCTCTCCTTATTGCATCAGAATTAGTAGTTCTAATCCACTATGAATTAGGAACCTTAGCAGTCTTGGACTTAAACTGAAACACTTCTCTCCAAGACTTACAAGTCCAGTTATAATTGAATTCCTTAGTCTCCACATAGCTTTGGAACTCTACGTTGATTAGCAGACCACTTGAGTGAGATTTTTAAGACATAAAAATCTTACATTCTCCCACTTGGTCTATAATCAACAAAACCATGTTTCAACTACTTTATGGCCATGGAAATCAATTAAACTGTATTCCTAAACAAGCTCTTGGTCAACTATGAAAACAAGCATCGAATTATCAAGGTGCCTTGAATATAAAACATCCAGGACCTTTATAATCACATATACCTATCTGCATAGCCACATAAAGCTTCCGTCAAGATTAGAACACAAGATGAACATGACTTTTCTTTAGAAAATGCTTTATGTCATTACCATCTGTAGTCCACTTCTTTAAGAGATTACAAGATCTCCCTTTTCCAAAATAACTCTTTCGTGAGTGAGTATCAGGTGCAATTATAGAAGCTAGCTTGTCTACACTTGATACCAACTGAAATCACTTGTTTAAACAAATTAAACACAGAATCAAATAATAATAATAAGACTGCACTTTAACTGAAAATCAATCAAGGTTCTTAAATAATAAAAATAAGCTACCAAAATGAAGGATAGATTCTAAAACAGACTCCCACTAGTCTTCCCCATCAAAACTGGACACCAATCCCATGCTTCTAACATGTCCATGAAAAACACCATTTGGCAGACCCTTAGTTAACGGATCAGCAATCATGAAATGTGTACCAATATGATCAAGCTTCACAAGACCATCCCTGATATTTTCTCTAACTGACAGATATTTAAACTTCAAATGTTTAGTGCCTGATGATCTTTTGTTGCTTTTGGTGAAGAACACTGCAGCACTATTATCATTCCAAATCTGAACTGGTCCTTCAATTGAGTCAACAACTCTCAGACTTGTGATAAGATTCTTGAGCCAAATAGCTTGACTTGCAGCTTCATAACACGCAATGTATTCAGACTGCATAGTTGATGTTGAAGTGTGTGTTTGCTTCACACTCTTCCACGAGACAGCTCCTCCTCCAAACACAAATACATAACCAGAAGTGGACTTTAAGGAATCCACACATCCTCCCAAATCTGCATCTGCATAACCAACTAACTCAAGATTCTCAACTTGCCTATAAACCAAATTGTAACTTTTGGTTCTCTGTAAATATCTTAAAACTTTCTTTGCAGCCACCCAATGTGCTTGGCCTGGATTGGACTGAAATCTCCCCAAAACACTTACTGCAAAAGCTAAGTCTGGTCTAGTACAGACTTGAGCATACATCAAACTTCCTACAAGTGAGGCATAGGGCTTGTCAACCATTTCTAATTTTTCTTGTTCAGTTTTAGGTGATTGTTCCATACTCAGTTTGTCTCCTTTTGAGACTGGAACATCTCCTCCTGCACAATTCTCCATATTAAATCTTCTCAACACCTTCTCTATGTAACCTTTTTGAGATAATCCAAGCAATCCTCTCTCCCTGTCACGACTGATTTCAATACCAAGTACATAAGAGGCTTCTCCAAGGTCTGTCATATCAAAAACTTTTGACAGAAAAACTTTGGTATCATGTAGTAAAGTCAAATTTTTGCTTGCCAAGAGAATGTCATCCACGTAAAGTATGAGAAAAATAAAATTTCTCCCACTGACTTTAATATATATACATTCATCCACAGGGCTTTCACTAAAACCATGAGACCTCACCACTTCATCAAATTTCAAATACCATTGTCTAGAAGCTTGTTTCAATCCATAAATGGATTTCCTTAATTTGCAAACCTGATCTTCTCTCCCTTCTTGAATGAAACCCTCAGGTTGCTGCATGTAGATCTCTTCATAGAGGTCTCCATTCAAGAATGCAGTCTTTACATCCATTTGATGGAGGTAGAGATTGAAATGAGCTACCAAAACCATCATGACTCTAAACGAATCCTTTGTAGAGACTGGAGAAAATGTCTCATTGTAATCAACTCCTGCCTGCTGTGTGAATCCTTTTGCAACTAGCCTAGCTTTGTATCTGTTAATGAGGCCCTTGGAATCCCTTTTAGTTTTGTAAATCCATTTGCACCCTATAGGTCGACATCCTTGAGGCAATTGAACCAATTCCCATACTTTATTT